AGTAGCAATAGCAATAGCAATAGCAGTTAGCAGTTAGACTTATATACCGCTTCATAGGGCTTTCAGCCCTCTCTAAGTGGTTTACAGAGTCAGCTTATCGCCCCCACAGTCTGGGTCCTCATTTCACCCACCTCGGAAGGATGGAAGGCTGAGTCAACCTTGAGCCGGTGAGATTAGAACCACTGAACTGCAGATAACAGTCAGCTGAAGTGGCCTGCAGTACTGCACCCTAACCACTGCGCCATCTCGGCTCTATGGTATGGACATGTCCTGAGAACAGCACCTTCTACTGTTGCCAAGACTGCCTGCCAACTAGAAGTCAATGGCTGGCGACCTTGAGGGCACCCAAAGCAAAGATGGCAAGACACCATTAACACAGATATGCAAGCCATGGGCCTGCGTTTGATGAAATGCTACCTGTTTGGCTGAACCGGTAGTAAAAAAATGCTACCAGTTCGAACTGGTATTTCCGTTGATCAGCTGTGACACGTGATTTATATTAGCTAGAAATAAGGAAATCCTGCTTTCTTGCTAATATAAATTGTGCATCACAGCTGATCTAAATTGCGTGGCACAGCAGATTCCCCTCCCCCCACAATCGTTGTTCCACTTACCTTTGCAAGTGCGCTCAGTAGCAGGCTCCACCCACCTGCCTGGACATCATCATGTCCATTCTTGATGCTCTGCGCACGTGCGGAAGGTCCTGCGCATGCAGAGGTGACCTGTGCAACAGTGGTGGGATTCAAATTTTTTTTACTACCGGTTCTGTGGGCGTGACTTGGTGGGCATGGCAGGGGAAGGATACTGCAAAATCCCCAGTCCCTCCTGATCAGCTGGGACTCGGGAGGCAGAGACTAGATGGGGGTGGGGCCAGTCAGAGGCGGTATTTACCGGTTTTCCGAAATACTCAAAATTTCCGCTACCGGTTCTTCAGAACTAGTCAGAACCTGCTGAATAACACCTTCGGTGTGCGCTCACATTTGTGAAACGGTAGCGAAGGTAAGTAGATTTCACTCTTGGCCTGCGCCCTGGAGACACAGCTGACCATGCAAAGTGGCGTTCAATGATCTGAAAAGCTGACCCTGCACATGTGGGACTACACTAGGAGGAAGAAGAACTTGTCAGATTAAGACTTCTATTTCTATTAAGATCAGCTGGAAAAAAATGTTTATAGTCCACAAGATTTTCTACTCATGCTATAATGGCATCACCCATATTAGAAATATCTGTTCCAAGAAACTTGAACTAGCTGCACTTAGTTCTTTTGGACATCAACTAAATACTTATTTGTACCATATTTTGGCCCCATAGCATTCTTAAGTAATAGAAATGGCGGGTAAATGAATGTTCGTCCTTTGTGTTTCTGTGCACAGGAAAAAAAAGGTAACAGACTGCAGCCAATTACTAGTGGTATTTCAAGAGCTATAAATCACATAGCAAGCAGTGTAAAAAATAAGGGGGGATGATTGATTCCATGGCAATGTCCAAGTTTTATAGAATTCAGATACTTTGAAAACAAGGATGGAAGTGATTTCAACGGAAGTTTTCTTGAAAACAAGGGTAGAAGTTGCTTGAAGCTGAAAAAAAAGCAGATCTGATGGACACAAAAGAGTTATTACATGACATATTTTAAAAAGTGACTTTTTATTTACACCGGGGGAAATGTTTCAGCAGTTAGAAGTTTAGATATTTGATAATTCACCTTTTTTTTGTAAAAGTATATAAATATATACACAAGCCTTTATATAAACATTGTAAAGTGTGATACAGTAAATATTTGCTATTTTCCCATACATGAATAAGTAAAGCTTAAATACTGATTTCAAGTATTTTCTATAGAAATCTCTACAATATTACAATTGGAAAAAGATAGCTCTGTTATAAACACACTTGAAAAACAGCCAAATAAAAATGTACTGTAAGAAAATCCATCAGGATAAAATACTGTTTTATTCCCCTCCCCAAAAATAGCTTCCACATTATATAAGTAACTGGAAAATAATCTGCAAGAAGCATGAATATATGTTAAAAAATGTTTTTAACATGTCAATCACTTTCAATGATTTGAAAAAGCTGCAAAAGTGCAGCACAATTAAATATAAATGTATATAAATGATGCTTAAGTGCCTACCTACACCTATGTAAAGGAAGAAGCCTTCCTAGTTGTACCTGATGCTTAATTGAGACTGGCGCTGGAATAATATTGGCAAAAGCTGTTTCTAGTCCACTCGCAAAGAATCTTGGGAATTGCAGTTTGAAGAAAGTGTGTGCAAGCATTTGTCAATCACAATTCTTTTTTTCTTTTGTTGATCTACATCTTCCATGGAAATGGTACAAATGTTAAACCAGCTTCAATCTGTAATGTGAATACCCCCAAAGTATCCGTATTTTTAAATGTATACATGGCACAATATTTTAGCTGCTTCTTTGTTGTTCTTCTGCTTGAAGACGTCTTAGGACGTACAAGATAACTTGATAGCAGAAAATGTATTGGTCCTGTAAAAGGGAGGAATTATTGCATATTCTCACAGAATACAAATGTCAAACAGAGACACGGTTTGGCTGTAATAGAGAAAATTCTGCTTAACGGATTCCCACCCTTCCTTACACAACATTTTTCACCCTCAGCAAAAGACAGATTGCATCTTTTGGATGTATTTCAAAATGTATGGGTAGCCAATATATAAAATCTCTTCGTTGCAATAGTGCAAGGCATTTCTCACTTCAGTTTCCAATCTCATAAAACTGTGTAGTCTCAGGAACATTGTAAAAAAAAAAAACCGTCACTGGGAAGGAAGTGTGAGAAATTTGCATGCCTGAAAGTTCCTTTCATCACTTAATTTTTATCTTCAGAATTTCAGTCTTTCCTTCCGGCGGGAGTTGACTATAAACATTTATTTATTTAATATATCATGTTTAGAAACCGCCCATCTTCCTTATGGAACAGGTCTGGGTGGTTTCTAAATATGATATAGCAAGAATTATTTTAAAATTATGCAGAATATTTGAAAACAAGTTCTGTGCAAAGCAGCTTAGTGCAAAGAAGATTAAAGCAGCTACATCTTCCATAATGCAGACATGGTGGCTTTGAAAAGCTGTGACAGACTCTATCATGTTTTGCACATTGATACACATTTTACAACGTAATACGAAGACTTTTTTTTCTGACCCCTTTTTAAAAATTCAGCATTTTATAGATCTCAGAATTACAGTTTGCTTTTATGTTGGTTTATCTTCTTACTGCCCTCACTTTGTAAAGCCCTCTCCCCCCAACAAATGGTTTTATTCTTATTTTTCATGATTATAAAACTATCCAGAGAGTCTCAGCTACTAAGAAATACAGAAATCCAATAAAATAATAATACACTTTCCATTTTCTCCTTTGCTTTCATTTCCCAGGATTCTTTGTTGGGGCACGTTAAGAAACTAGAAAACCTGAGACGAAGGATCATGTGTTGCATTCAGGATAAACATACCTCAGTTTGTATCATGCCATGCCTTTGCAAACGCATCAGCCGCACCACTTCGGAGATATCAAACTGTGAAGGGGGAAAAAAAACACCCACTCTAAATTGCACTTTGTGAAATTTTTATGGCATTCATCCCTCCCAAAGTTTAGGACCGATGCTCAGCACCAAATATAACTCTTGGCCTTCATAAAGCAGAGGGTATCCCAAGGTATGCAAGCCATCTCAGTTGCAGGGATGGGATTCAGCTGGTTCCGACCGGTTCAGGCAAACCGGATGTTAATTTTACATCTGGTTCACTGAACTGGTAGTTGAAAGGGCTGGTTGGACCCGCCGACCCCTCCCAGGAGTCTCCATGCGGCCCTTTTTGGATGCCAGGTAAGGGCAGGGTCCGCGTGGAGGCTCTGGGAGGGCGAAAAATGGGCCTCCTAGAAGTTCCAGAAGGCCAGAGGGAAACCCTAATCCCCTAATCCTAACCCTAACCCCCCTGCTGTGGTGTAGGAGGTCAAGTAGGCCATGCCTACCATAGCCACACCCACCCAGCAACTGGGCAGAGAACCGGTTGCTAAACAATTTTAATCCCAAGATATGAATACTCATATCTTTTAAAAATCTGTATTCTGATTTGGATATTACTCCAATGTTGGGACAAGGAATCTGACTCAGAAGACAAGAAGCTTATGTTAATAAAATCAGAAACTTCTGAAAAATTTCTCTTGGGTAATATATTAAAATTGTACTGTGCAGCCAATGGAGATTTTAAAAACAGACTAAAGTGCAATGAGCCAGATGTACATAGATCAATAAACTAAATCAATATCCATTGTAAGAATAATTAAAATAGATTTCCCCAATCTGGAATTCTTCAGATGAGTTTGGATGACCAGAATTCCCATAGATGGCCACCCAGAATTTCGTGAATTACAATCTCAAGTTTAAAGGATTGGAGGAAGTTTCATGTAGGTTTACTCACCTCGAGGTCTTGGCTGATTAAGCCCAGGACCACGTCAAGGCAAATAAGAGTCCCTGAGCGCCCAATTCCTGCACTGCAGTGAGTAATGATGGGTCCCGATTTGTGGATGTGCCTCATGTAGGAGATGAAAGTTATCAGATCATTTGGTTGAGATGGTGTGTCATGATCTGGCCAAGCAGTAAAGTTTAAATGGGAAATACGCCGGAGTTCACCAGTCTGTCGATTTGAAATTCAAACAAGAACACATACAGAGAAATTAAGACCATCGAGAACCCTGAAGAGAACGAATCTCACAACAAGGACGAACAGTCCAATCTTATTAAAAAAAAAAAAAAAATCAAATCCATAATAGCTGAGTTCTCTTTCCTTCATTACAGTTTCTTTCAACTTAGCATCTTCCAGATGTACGGAGACTCCTCAACTTCTCAGCTACCGTCAACCTAGAATGGTTCCAGATCACTCCTATGTTGAACTATGTGAAACTTAACATGGATATTAGCCATGAGTTCCAACAAAGGGGAAAGAATACCATGACTAAAGCAGAAATTTTAGGGTCTAGTAGTTATTAAAGAAACTGTAATGAA